AAAACGCTTTCCTGTATTCGATAATTTAGTGAATAACTTGAATTATAAAGTGGTCGAGCATTGCCGCCTAATTTGAAAATAACAAAATAAATTTTAAATCTGACAACTAATGAAAAATTGACATTTGTAGATGAATTTTTTAAAGAATTATTAGGAAATCATGAATACTTTTCAAGTGAATTTTTTGATTTTATAGGGTTTGACATTAATAATAGATGTCCAAAAGAATAAAGTTGATCTATTTTTATAATATTAAATTATTGAGTAGTATAATAATGCATAATATGAAATGAAAGCTCTTTGTGCTTATATTAATAATAACAATTTTCATGATTAAATTATATATAGATTGGATTTCACAGCCATCCAGAGCTGTAAAGGCAGTCTTAGATATCCTCAAAGTACCTCATGAAGTCAAGCCATTAATGATTTAATATGATGAACATAAGTCACCTGAGTTCACAGCAATTCATCCATTATAATAATGTAAGGAGGTTAATAAAATTGATAGTGCCTGTATTACAAGATGGAGATTTTTTTGTTGCCGAAAGCCATAATATAATGAGATACATTATCAAATAGAAAAATATTTCAACTAATTTGTAAGTTTATAAAAATTACTAAGATACCCACTTACAGATATCAGATAATAAACTAGAATAGATCAATATCTTGACTATCATCATACAAATACTAGAAGATGCTTTCACTTTTACTATTCAGTGCTTATAGCCCCAAGGAAGGGATAGACAGTTATCCCTGAAGTACTGGAAAAGGAACAATAAGATGTGGCAAAAGTTTTTTCATATTTTGAGAACAGTAATTATTATAAAACATATGTAGATTGGCTGAAAGATAAGAACTACATTTGTGGAGATTAAGTCACTTTAGCTGATATAAGTGCTTGTAGTGAAATGATGTAATTAGACATGATTAAATTTGATTTCAAAAAGTATCCTATTACAAATGCATGGCTTCATAGAGTGATAAATATTCCAGAACTTTATCAAGCTCATCATGTTGCTTTTAAGATTATCAAAAAATAAAATCCAGGTTCTTAATTCTTGAAATGAATTAAGACATCGTATATACATATATGGAATAACAAGTTGTAATAATATAAAATTAAAGCATATTAATGTATATGTTTTCAAAAGGTTGAGCAACAGCATTTTTCTTCGTTTGAAAGCTTTTAGTCTTTTTATATGGTACTTGTAACGTTTTGCAAGGTTTAATTTTAAGACCTTAAGACTTTGATTTTAATGGCCCTTTTTATGGCTTAGTCAAAGATTTCCTTCAAACCTTCTTATGTTAATGCAGAACATTCGAGATAATGACAATTCATTTTCTCAACTTTTTATTTTGCCTAAAGGATGAATTAAATGGAATGTTACAGCATCAAATTAGACATGTTTTGGATTGGCTTAGTTTCTTATATCTATTTTATTTCCAACAAATATTTTTGGTACACTCTTTAATTCAGGAGTTTCTAATTCTGGGTACCATTTGTTGGTTGCATTTTCAAAACTTGATTCCTCAATAACTGAGAAAACAACCAAAAAGACATCAGCTGAATTATATGATAGTGTTCTTAATCTATTATAGGTTTCTTATCCTGCAGTATCCCACAGACTTAAGTTAATCATTTTGCCATCAACAGCAGTCTGAGTGGTATAATTTTCAAAAACTGTAGGAATATAGTCTGTTGGAAATTTATCAGTTGTATAGCTACGGATATTTTGTGGAAATACCTGAGGAGTATACAGGTTTTGCCTACACTTCCGTCTCCTACAACGACAAGTTTAATTGTTATAGGATCTATTTCTGACATCACTCAAAAATATTTATTTAATTATAGGGAGTGGAAAGGAATATTTTAATGTAATTTAATAATGAATTCATTTACTTTTATTGAATGAATAATATCAAAATGCTCCCTTGAGTTAAGATTTAACATAATCGGTAAATCTTGGTTGATTCAATAAATCCAAGGCTTAGTGAGCAGCATTTAATTCCTTGTTGTATTCAGCAACGGTAGCGTTGTAGACATCAGTTGCGAAAGCATAGTCATCATTTTCTGCTTATAATTATCCATTCAATGTGTCCAAATCAGCATGTAAGACATCAATTAAATCAAGGGTTTATTCAATCTTGTCTATTAATTATTATTATTAACAATTTACTTGCATTGGCTTCGATTTCAGCTGTCTTAACAACAACAGCTCTTTAGAATTCAGCGTGTTCTTAGTTCAATTGAACGACTCTAGCTTCAAAGTCCTTTTAGGCTTCAGCTTCATCGGCAGTGAGTTGGTTGAGTGAATCAACTAATTGAACTCTCAAGTTGTTGAAGGCAGTCAAAATCTATGAAAGGGTTAACAAGGGATTGATACTTCTCTAAGGGCACCTTGATCAGCGAAATTAGCTTCAACAGCGATTTCCAAAAGAGTCTTGATGAAGGTTTAGAATGTGCTGTGTCTTTTGAGTGATTATTAGATTTTGGTCAAATTCTTTTAAACCTTTTAGATTTAGACAAGGGATGGTGATTCCAATTGACTGAGTAATTATAATGATTCATCAATAGCTCCAATGGCTTCATTGTGTTCAGCAACCTAAGCTTCAAATTCAGCGTGATCCTTAGCTCTTTGAACTGTGGATTCATTAAGGGTCTTTCTGTTTTGAGCAATGTTTTCTTATAATTATTCAAGTTGAGCAGCAAATCTATCTCTTTATGGGATCAATACGTTATCATAGAAATCGTGGGCATTGAAGACCTCTAAAGGAAAGCGTTAAATCTAATAAAATACCTCTTTCTTTGTCTTAGATTTCTTATTCAAGTCTTGTAACTTCTCTATTGTGAACGTCTGTTCTTCTTTAATATTAATGATGGACTTCTGCCAATTCCTCATCCAATTCGTCAATCTAAACAAATTAATGAAAAAAGTAATTACAAGTTTAGCAATTTCACTGTTTAATTCTGCAAGGATACCTCCTGTGCTTAAATGGAGTTCACCAAAGTTCAAAATGAATTTACCCCAACCAGATTGTTTAATTTGAGCAAAAGCTTTTTGGTCATGGCTTGTCCAAACTGAGTTTGTGACATCAATTGCTGTTACGCTAAGGATAAGCAATGTGCAGACTGCTAATTTATACATATATTGTAATTAATAATGAAGGCAACACCAGATAATTAAGTGTTAAAAATTCCAAAAACGAATTTTATTTTTATATATTTATATTAATATCATACTAGAAGCCAGCTCATAATAATAATTTTAATATAATTAAAATATATATATAAATAAAGTCAGAGAAGATGTATCTTTTCAATTAAAAGACTTTAATTGTACTGGTTTATGTACATAATGCTCTGTAGATTTTTATTGAGACCAACCTCCTTCGATTATGTTTTTTTGACTTCAGAGAACTATACAACATATGATCATTCAGCAATACCTGTCCAATTAATAGAAGTCCATTATTGTTTACGTAATTCCCAAATCCCATTATTAGACCCTTCTGAAATTATCCTTAATAATAACTTCCATCACTCCAATGAAATGTTCCATCACCTTAAAATTAGTTATTTTCAAACGATCCTTCATACCTACAATTGAATATATGAAATATTAAACTTGCATCCATCCGGAAACACTTGAATCCCTCTTCCATTTTTCTTGCCGTTATGAAATTGTCCATAAAATCTTGTTCCATCACTCTTAATTTCCTGGGCTTCTCCTTCTAATTGGTTATTGATCCATATTCCTAAAAATAAGAATTTATTTTACCCTTAACTATTTTTTTTTCCGATATAAACATGCCAAAACCATTTGTGCAGCCATTTTAGAATTGAGCTTCGAAACTTCATTATTTTAATATTAAATACATATCGCCATTCCTATAATGCATTGTACAAACTCCTTAAAGCAAATCGTTTTACCAAGTCCTATAATATTATAAATAGTTTGTTACCCAATTAATAAATTCCCAGCTTGTGGCCACACTTAAATACCATTCCCATGTTTGAGTCCTGACTCCAATGTACCGAAGTATACACTTTCATCACTTTATTTTGAAACCTGAAAGTCTGGGTGAGGTTTGAAATTTTCTAATTTTTGTTTTATGTGTTATGGAAGAGCACTCACAAACTCCAATAATCGAGAATCTAAAGCTGGACTGCCATGTTTGGAATTGTCATCATCAGCTACTCATAGATAAAAAGTCTAGTACTTTCGCTCAATGAGATAGATGCAAACTTATGAATGAAATATTCTTATGATATCTATTAATTCATTTATATTTAATTATTGAGATATATTACTAATGGAAAGTTAAAATATACTCTTAAATTAATTTAATTAAATAAGTATACAAAGGAAATGTCTCTTTAAAGAGTTTTTGAGAAATTAATATATTGGGATGTCTACTTATCAGCAGTCATACATGGCCATGAAAGTTTAATGCTGACAGTGATGCTATTTTTGCCATCCTTGATTTTTTCGCCCAAAACAATTGCCGCACCTATATTCTTCATCACTTATTAATATGGCTACGCTTATTCAATCAGATACTTGATTTCAGTAGTGCTGTCCCTAGCCTTGACTACTTTCTTTAAGAAACATTTCAAAAGACCAAGACCCAAACCTCGTCCACAATTATCACTTAAACCTATGTATTTTAGAAATAAGGAAACCAATTACTCCTTGCCAAGTGGAGATTGTGCTTAAGCTGCAACCTTTCTCTTCTATTTTTTGAATGCTTATGGAAGTGGTACTTTAGATATGTAAATTTATTTTAGGGGACATCGTTGTCATTTTGATTGCAATTCTCATGACTCTCAATGTGATGTTGGGCAGAGTGTATTTCTGTTGTCACTACTTCAGTGATTGCCATCTTGGATTTGGAATAGGAGTGACTAGTGCCTTCTTGGTTAACTTTTTATTATAATGAAATGGGCGTGTATTGTATACAAGGAATATTCAATTAATATTATATATATCTATATGAACATAGTTGAGTACAGAAAGCATCAGAATGAAAACTAAATCAGAACTTGTTGTTGCAAAAGAAGAGCCCCTTGGGAATTACAACCAGACAGAAAAGTATTGCAAGCATTTAAATTCTTAGATTCTGATTGGTACTGCAGATAAAAATATTCCCAATAATAGAGTTGAGACTTCGAAGTATAATATGCTCACATTCATACCCAAAAACTCATTGGAATAATTTATGAAAGCTTCCAATTTGTACTTTCTGCTTTTAGGCGTCTTGTAATCAGTTTGAATTCAATTTAGTCAAATCCAACCTTCAGTCACCACTACTGATGGACAACCCACTGTTTATCTGCCTCTGTCCTTCATCATTATGGTCAGCATGATCAAGGACTTTTTTGAAGACTTTAAAAGGTACCTCAATCATCACCATTAGACACCGAGCAGATGATGAAGAAAACAATCGGACAGTACAGAAATATTCGCTTCGAACAGGAGTTTTTGAGTATGACAAATGGTAGAATGTGTATGTTGGAGACATCATAAGAATTGCAAATAAATAGGTTTGATTTTAACTTAAGAGTAGAGAATTCCTGCTGATATTATTATCTTAGCTACTTCCAAGGGAGGAGAATGCTTTGTAGAAACGAAGAATCTAGATGGCGAAACCAATCTCAAACCCAAATATGCACATCCATAATTGCAAACCTTATACAAATAGCTAAATGAAAAAGAGTTACCTTATAATTTGTAACTTTCAAATAAAATATCTTAGATTTGTAACAATGGATTTTGAACGTCAAAATCCTTTAATGTACAAATTTAAGGGTAGCTTCAATATTGTTAATGAAAATAAAGAATTACCCAAGGAAGCCTTGAATTATGAAAATTTCTTAGAAAGAGGGTGTTCTCTATAGAATACTGACTGGATTTTGGCAGTTACTGTATATACTGGACATGATACTAAGATTATGATGAACTCTATTATAGGAAAGATGAAATATAGTATAGTTGAGATATTAATGAGTGAGTAGATTTTATGGGTACTCTTATTTTTGTTGTTTGAATGTATTTTTGCATCAACATATTATAATGTATGGTACTAAAGAAATATGAATGAATTGCAATCATATTTGAATATTGATAAAGATGCTCCAGAAAACAATTCCTTTTACAATTTTGTGTTAAGATTTGCAATGTGGTTTTTATTATTAGGTAACAGTGTCCCAATATCGTTGTTGGTTACTTTAGAAACAGTCAAGTTCTTTTAAGCATAAATGATTTAATGGGATAAGAATTACCTAACACTTGATCGACCTGCTGCAGTTCATTCCTCAAATTTGAGTGAAGAATTGGGAGTTATTGAATATATATTCAGTGATAAGACTGGAACATTGACTCAGAACATTATGAAATTTAAATCTCTTATTATTGATGAAGTTGTCTATGGGGATATCGAGGAATAAAATCAAAATTAATAAGATGTAATAGATGAAAAACCCTTTTAAGAAAAGCATAGAATTGTATCTTAAAATGTTGATTTCACAGATGATGCCCTGTATTCTGAATTGATTTCTGAATTTATGAATAAAAAATCAGCTAGAAATTTCACAAATAACGACCATGTATTCCTAAGTCTCCTTTGTTTATCCTTGTGTCACACAATTCAAACAGAATTAGTCGAGAATATCGAATCTGAGATTTAATATAATGCTAGTTCTCCAGATGAATTAGCTTTGGTTAGCTTTGCAGCTGAGATGGGATTTAAGTATATTGGAAAAGAAGATAATGTAATGAAAGTTTACATAAAACATACAAAAGAAATTTTAAAGTTTTAAATTTAGTAGGTTATTGAGTTTAATAGTACTAGAAAGAGAATGTCAATAGTGTTGAAGGATTAAAATGGAAGATTGACTTTATTTTGTAAAGGAGCAGATAATATTATTTTATCTATGTTGTAAGATTTTGAGGAAAATGATACTATATAGAAAAATATCCTATTTGAAATCAAAAAGTAATTACAAGAATATGCTACTATTGGACTTAGAACTCTAGTATTGGGATACAAGGAATTGGAGTAAAAAGAATATGAAAAGTTCTTATCTGAATATAATAGAGCATAATCCATTTTAGATGATGATTAATTAAGAGAATCACTTATGAATCAATTAGAAGAAATGATTGAAAATAATTTATAGTTATTATGTGCAACAGCTATCGAGGATAAATTATAAGATAAAGTTGGAGAAGTAATTGCTGATTTAAAATCTGCTGGAATAAATGTATGGGTATTGACTGGAGATAAGATAGAAACAGCTATTAACATTGGATTCTCATGTAAATTGCTTACAGATTAGGTGAAAAGATTTATTATAGATGGAGATTAGGAAGGATAGGTCGAAAGATAATTAGCCAAAGTTACCAATAGTATTAATGAACATCCTGATGAGCCTTTATCATTGATAGTATCAGGAGTGGCTCTTGTTATAATCATACACAACTTTAAAGAAGCTTTTTTTAAGGTGGCTTTGAAGGCCAATGCTGTGATGGCTTGTAGAGTTTCTCCAAAATAAAAATAAGAAATTGTGAATTTGGTTAGGAGATAGACTGGCAAAATAACATTGGCTATTGGTGATGGGGCAAATGATGTTGCTATGATCACCTAGGCCCATGTTGGTATAGGAATTAGAGGTTTAGAAGGGTAGTAGGCAGCTAAGGCAAGTGATTATGCTATTGGAGAATTTAAACATTTAAGAAGGTTGTTGTTTTATTCTGGACACGAATCTTATAGGAAGAACAGCAATTTAATTCTATTTAACTTTTACAAGAATTAATTATACATTGGAGCATTTTTCTTTTTCGGCTTTTCAAATGGATTTAGTGGATAAAATCTGTATGATTAATGGCTTTCTCAAATTTTTAATGTATTCTTTACAAGTTTACCAATCATTCTATATGCTTTATTTGATGAGAAATATCCAAACTCAAATTATATGCAATTGGTTTAAGATAAGTCAAATTTCCTGGAATCCAGACCTGATATTTATAGAGAGTACTTGACTAAGCCTATCTTTAACTTAGTGTCCTTTTGGAAATAATTCTTATGGGGACTGTTGTAATCAATATTGTTAATGATAATTTCATTTTATGCATTTGAACCTGTTTCACCACATATTCATGGGTAGAATTCTACTTACTTAGAAGCTGGAATGACTATAATGAGTGCAGTTGTTATTATTGTAAATTTTAAAGTGCTACTACTACACAATACTGTAATAATATTAATAATTTGTAGAATTATCCAATCATAGTCTATATTAATATTGGATCAACCACCTGCTTTATATTATTATTCTTACTTTTCTCGCAATACCCCTTTTTTGAAAGCTTTGATCTCTTTCAAAGATTGTATGAGTGCTTTAATTACTATATGGCAATGATATTGATGTTGACTGTTACCAATTTCTTTGATCTCGGGAGACAGAGATATAATTACTTTGTGGATTAACAAAGAGAACATCAGTTAAACAACCCACCAACTTAATTAGAAATTGAAATGTGATATATATAAATTATATTTTAATGAACGATCGTGAAAGTAGTGATTCTAGTAGTGATGAATTTTATGAGAAAATTAAAGCTTAAGTACCTAACAATTCTAAATTAAGCTAAATATCATGGATGATGAGGAAAAGAGTTCAAGAATTGTAAGCAGAAATGAAGTATTGCCAAAAGTCTCATTTGCTCCTCCAGAATCCAAAGAACAGAGAGAATTCAATTTCAATTATAAACATTCAGATAGAATTCAATTGATTGGCAAAATTGAATCCATTACCAAAGAAAACATTATCATTTATTCCAATCTTTTAGAATTTGTCATCAATTTAGATTAATTAATAGTTAATGGCTAATAAGAGATTTTGGGAAAAGTTGATGATGTTTTTGGTAAAGTCGAAAGGCCTCACTATTCAATTTTGTTGGATGGATATGTGAACAACCTAGTTTAAACAAATTAACTAAAAATTGGCGATGATGTCTATATTAATGTTGATAGCACTTCTGTTTTAAATCCTGATGCTATTAAGCAACTACTTAAGTAATTTTTCATGCTATCAAAAGTAAAAAAGGGTGCGATGCATCTAATTAATTTGATGAAGAAGTGATTAATGAATGTGATGTTGAATATTCAGATGATGAGATTGAAGCACACTCTAAAAAGCGAGGAAACAAGGAAGAAGGAGAAGTGAAGAAGAATAATAAAAAAAAAGAAAAACATCATAACTAATAAAAGCATGATAAATAATAATCATTTCCTTAATAAAATAATAAACCTTAAGGCAATAATCAATAATAATAATAATAATAACAATAATAACAATAGTAATAGTAAATGATGTAGATGCAACATTCTATGTAATAATAACAACAATATTATTAATAAATGTTACTTTAATAGCAAATGTAATTGTAAATGCAATAATAATAATATTAACAAATAATATAAAATTAATAGGCTTTTCCATAATAATAAATGCAATAACCTTAATACATATAACAAATGTATCCGTAACCTTAATAATTATAGCCAAACCCTCAATTAAATCTCCCTTACAATTCATAATAAATTAATTAATAATTAAATTAGAATCTGAATTCCCTTTTCTAAAATATTAAGCCGTAAGATTAATGAATAAGTTTTGTATATAATTTATTATTGTGATATTTAAATATCTAAAATCTCATTTCATATCAGAGTCAGTACTTATTATAATATCGAATTAAATAAATATATACACACATATATATATATTCATTTTTCAAAGTATGCTCTTAAGAGATATTCAGTAGTTTATTAGACAGATTTATTTGTGTCGTAAACAAATCTTTCTAAAATGTCTTTAAAAGTGGAACTCTGCATTTAGATATACTTTTAATATCTTTCAATTTCAGCACATTAAAATAAGGATAAAGCAATGCAATTTAAGGTCACATAGTTCATGGTCGTCGATATATCTTATCTTAGAATATCAAATAACATATCAAGTAAATGGTATTAGTCCATAAGCTGTAAAAAGTGTTATCTTTTGCGAAGTACTATTTCTAAAAGTTTTAGAATTTCAATTTATCCATCTATAAATGTAATTTTAAGTAGTTTGATTAAATCATCATTTATAAATTTAAAGTAAGTGTCATTTTCTTCAAAAATCATAAACAGTAATTTAGTAGACCTAACCATAGTTCTTTCATGTCTGTACAAATTGCTTTGAAGGACAAACATTAATTCTGAAGTGACAATTTATTCATAGTAGGTTTTTGAAATTGCATGTTAAACTAAATAATGAATTGCCAATAACAACTAATCACAGCAAAAAAAATCTGAGTTAGGTTGCTTAAGAAAATGCAATAAGCATTTCCAAGGTCTCCTATCCTCAGAATTAGCAGAATTCAGAGCCTCCCAATAAAACTAATTGGCTTATGGATATTTTTGAATTAAGTGTGGGAGAATGCGAATTTGCATTTAAGTAGTGCTGTTTCTGCATTAAATGAGTTCTTCACAACATATCAAAAACACTTATTTCAGAAATGGAAACGGAGTATGAGCTGAATTTGAAAGAATGAGCATAAATTCCCAATAAAGCTTTCTATGTTCTTCAAATAAGTTGCCACTAATTAAGTTTAAATATTAAGTTAATCTCTCTTTTTATATTTGATCAGAGAAGATGTGTTTGACTACTGTTGGTTCAACACATAAATTACACATTAAGTTCAAACACAAATTAAGGTCTAAATCATTGTGTTTCAGTGTTTTGTAAACATTGTGATCTATAATGTAGACGCTGTATTTTGCACTTAATTGCTATACCAATTATATGAGTTTTTCTAAATTTTAGTTGTCTGGATTTTGAAGTATAAGTTAAATCTGATTTTCAATTTGATCTTTGTATTTAAGTTCAAAATCGATTAAATTGTTGCATTCATTTAGATCCTGAATTAAGTTGCACTTTTCAAATCTTTTCTTGCTAAATTCTTTTTCTAGATTTTATTTACGAATTTCAGTTCTAAATTATTCCCTTCTTTTGACTATAATATCACTCATTAATAATAAAATTCATATTAAAATCAAATATTTTAATAACATCAAATTACTAAATTTAGACATAATTTAGAATTCTTATATCAGAATTTCTATGTTAAAGAAGTATTTTCTATATCTATCATCAATTTGAAAATGTTTATGTAAAATTGTGCATTTACTTGTTGATCAGCAATTATTATTTATTCTTATTGATATTGTAGAGGTGTGTAAATTAAGGAAAAATTTGGAGGAAAATACAAAAACTGAATGGCATTTTATAGAATTAGATAAAAAGTTAGTTTTTTAAATATATATCCAATATAATTAAATTGCTAAAATACATAAGGAATGCAGTATGAAATCAAGACAATGGGTTATGAGAACACAACTGACAATGTTTTATATAGAATTCGCATTATCGATCTTTTTACACTTGACTAGAGAGAAATTAGAGTGAGATATAGTCTTTTACTTGACCTTCATAATGCCATGCAAGATTCCAATATAAATTTTTAGGTATTTATAATCTAAATCTAGCTTCCTTAATTTCCTAAGAAGGAATACTTGAAGACATTGCTTGGAGAAAATAAAGTTATCAAACAACGCGAATAAAAATTAGGGGAGTATTTTCAATAACTTCTTAAATGTCCTCCTCCTAATCATAAATTGTTGCTTGATTTTCTTAGAGAAGGAGTTGACACAATTAGACAATAAGAATTATTGAAAGAAGTAAGCTCGAAATCTGAAATACTCAAATTTTTTAAAAAGGAAATGGTGTTAAAAAAGGGATAATTTGGGAAAACTACTTTATATAGAGGAAACGGAAAAAAAATAATTTTACATAAGTTTTACGTCATGCAGCATTAAAGTGATTAATTTTTCCAAGCTTATATTAAGGCTCATTTAAATATTTTTGATTTTAGCTTATTCACTCAAGTGATTTCTATATTCTATATACGACCTAAGTCTAATTTTGTTGATTCTATGCTTGGTTAAGTAAAATAGCCAAAGGTAAGCAAAAAAACCAATATTTTTACATATTTTTATCCCCAACATATGAGAGTAGAAGCAGCGAAGATATTCTCACTTGAAGAATATGAGGGATAAAATCTAAATGAAGTGATTAAAGATCGCAAGAATAAAAATAAACCATTTAGTTTAGATGAGCTATTAAATATTATACAGAAAATCTTATAAGCTATTATTTAATTGCACAAGCGCAATATATTTCCAAATAGAATTTTACCCACTTCCATCATTATCAATAAAGAGAGTGTTAAATTAGCCAGCATTTAAGAGCCAAATGCCAAATATAAGGAAAAGTATCTGTTAGAAGGTAATGCTACTAGAACTGAATAAGAAAACGATGTTGTTTATTACCCTCCTGAGAAAATGAGTTAATAATTTTAATAATTAAATGGGAGGTTGATAGATAGTTGGCACTTTGGAGTATGCATATTAATGGCAGCTCTGTTATGTACAAATAAAGAATTGGATGGAATTCATTCATGTTATCAAGTTGATAAGTTTGCAAATCAAGTGTAGTTGTTATATGGGTATTTTTAATAAATTTAATATAGATAAGTGATGTAATAGCAGAAATAATTATGTTGAGTCTAAAATAATAGCCACATGAAAGAGCTGATATTAGAGAATTGTATTTCTTGGCCAATTAGACAGCAATAATCAAATTTCAATCAAATGTCTTGAATCAGTAAGAGAAACCTTAAATTACATACTTAACCATAAATAACATTACACAAGAACAATTAAAAAACCTCTAATAACTCATTTAAAAATCTCCAATTTTATCAGTTAAAATCAATCTTTATAGATAAGTAATAGATTAATAAGAAATTGATAAATTATTATAATTACTGGGTAATTTTGCTGAAGTAAAGTATTTTCAAATGATTTTAAATAAGTAAGAATAGATTTAAAATGATTAGAACATAAAATTTAAATTTTGGAAACTTCTGCCTTGGTTTATAAAAATTAAAGTAAATGAAACGTCTCTCTTTGGATTTGAAGGGAATTAATATAGAAAAAAAAGAAATAAACCAGGCAGTAAAAATATTTAAATAAATGGACTCAATTGAAAGATTGATATTGGATTGTTCATCGATGGAATTTATTTATAGTTTGAAATAGGAATTGAAATTAGAGAGTAATTTAGTTTTGTATTTTGAATCATAATTAATTTGATTATTTTCATTGCAAATCAGCAGGGTGTTTTGCAGCATTCTTTAATTTTTTTCTATTTTTTATTGAATTAAGCATTTAACTTGCTTATCTCATTGTATCTACAATATTGACAATCTAAATATAATAATGAAATAATACATCTTTAGATATCCGTTCGATCTTTTTTGATTCCTCTTCTTCATCCTACTTGAGATTTTGTAATTCCCTAGCCTTATTGAATGGAAACCATGTCAGATCTTTCTTCTATATTTTTTCCGAGACGAATTACTCAATTCCAGTATAATCCGTTGGATCTTTGTATTTGAGGTAAGCCATGAAGAAAACATAATTCCACATGTAATGATTAACCTTGATGTGATGATCAAAACCACCACCCATTGATGATGTGTCTGTTAATCTATCAAAGATGGTTTTAAGATTCCCACAAATAAAACATTTATCTTCAATGTCCCTAACCTTTTCACTTTCTGCTTCTCTTAAAGATCCAAATGTGTCAATAATAATACCTGCCACTATATTAACCATAATAATAACTAAGAAAATATTTGATGTGTTATCAAATACATATCTACCCACATGATACTTTTCAACTACATTTTCATCTTCTAAATCTGATAGATATCCTCCAACTCCACCATTAGCTTTAAATGTCCAGTCAAATGTAAATAGAAAGCAAAACAAAGTGGATTAGCATTTTCCTTTGTAATCTTCAAAAAAGAATGTATAGGCTATCAGTCCATAAACATAAACAAGAATTATGAAAAGTACCAGTGTAAGTGCTAATTATTATTTAGGTTCCCAAACTGATCTAATAACATTCTTTAAAGTTGGATATCGGATTAATATCTCTGTTAAATGAAAACTAAAGAAGAAAGGGTGTAATACTGTTCCTATTACAGCTAAGGCACCATAGGCTAAATAATAGACGACTTCTATCTCTTTAAGAATATAAAACAAAACTGCTAGCAATTTAAATATCTTGTAAATCAATTGTATTGGCCAATAAGTAAACTTATCTTCAAAAGGTAATTTAGTTTTCCAGGCCTTCTTTATAATTAATGGAGCATTCTTAAACAAAAAGAATGAAACAACAAAAATTGAACAACAAGCCATAATAGTACCGCAAATCAAAAATATATTTCTGGTCTGCTATGGTGAATATTACTCATCTCTAAACAATCGGAAATCTGTTATTCTATTTCCTGATTCATTTTAAGCAAATGATCCAATAATGAATAAATTCAATAATAAGGTGAATAAAAATGCTAAATCCTTCCACAATTTCACATAATTTGCAAATAAAGCTAGGAACTTCTATCTTTAAAAAATACGTCTTAATTGTTCCTCATGTTCACATATTTCAACTAATCTTTCTGATTCCTAAACCAAAAATTGCACCTTCGATTTAGTAGATGATCTATCGACGTTTTCATGAAATTCTATTTTCTGTTCTTTAGGTAAATTATGAGTATATGGCAAGAGTATAAAATATACAATCTCTATCTCATTGTTTCTAACAACTTCTATTGATGCACTATTTTTATAGAAAAAATCAAATGCTCTTCTCTTCATCTTTTCCTTTTCAGCTCTTCTTTCTCTATCTTGTTTCTCTTATTATTCGCTTGACTACACTTAAGTAGCCATCTATTTTTAAGCCTCTTTCTTGATTTGATTCATTAAATCAATCCAACTATTAGCAAATGACATCACAAAACTAACAAGTTGCCCAATAATATTGTCTCCAAATAGCAAATCTTCTAAAGTGCCTTTGTCTTACTTAAGTTTCTTTCTAGTATTCGCCCTATACATTTAAACAAATGAATTTTCAACATTCTTCTCAGATTCCATATAATAGCACATTAAAAAATAGATATAAAAGCCTTTCTACAAAATTAATTCATAGTATTGCTCTTCTTTTACTTTATCATCTTGTTTTGCAGTCTCTGGATCCTCCTTAATTCTATCTAGGACTTCAATCTAATAGCCTTCTTTACATTATTTCTCATACTTATGAAAACAACTTACCATGTGTTTTTCTAATAGAGGAGGTGTCAAATGTCTCATAATTCTTTTGATAATCGGATTCGAATCTGATATTTCTCTCATTTCAATTAAAGAAAGAATCAAAATTAAACATTTGGTTTGCATTCTTTCAATTTACCAATTTTTCAAATCTGATCCTTTCTGTTATTTTTGATATCTACCGGTCTTAGAAGTCATCATTTTATTATTTTACGTTTTCGAAGTTTTTATATTTGATGTCATAATTTAAGTTTTGCTAGTATTGTCCTTCTCCTTTTTTTACCCAAACAAGTCTGAAGCTATTTCGAAGAATTTAGAATCAGCAACTGCTATTTAATTTTCAGGACATGGGCCTTAGACCAGTTCATTTAAAGTATCCAAACATAGAACCATATTTTCATACTAGGCTCTATCCTTATAATAATAAGTTAGTAATAACTCAGCTACTTAATTAATCATGTTATATGAATTTCTAGAATTCGTTTGTTATCGGATATAGTTTTGTAAATCTAGATAATGTCCCTCGCAACAGTTTTATAAGAATTTCAAGACCTGAGTCAATAATAATTCCAAATCTTATTGTGATTTTTTTTCTTATACATTTTCCTCTTATTATTATTATTGAGGGAAAAAGCCTTATTATTATTCTTCAGTCTTTTTGTCTTTTTCTTTTATTGTGATTTATTTGATCTATGCCTGAATGACATTATTTAATCTACTAAAGATGACTTCACTTTTTGGATATGTCTTCATGAATTCAAAAATAGTTTTTTATACTTTGTTATTACCACCTGATAGCAGAGTATTGATAAACATCAAGAAATTTCTAAGCATTTCTCCATCAAGTATAATTGACTCACTTAAAACTGTTAAGACCATCCTAGTAGCTCCTAATTTATTGAATAAATTTTGCATTTCTTCCATTTCATTGTTTTCTCCTTCAACTTCAACTTCTTCTTATTATTCTTCCTTAGGCTTACCTTCAATCACTTTTCTCAAAACTCCTAACAAAGTTATAATAGTTTTATTATTCTAGCTACTATTTATTGCATAACTCAAAAAATTAATAAACTTTTTTATTAGTATCACTTATTCAACTTTTAATATTTTTTCATTTTTTTCATTTTTGTCACTTGGATTACCAAAATACTATTCAAATTTAACAATAGCCTCTGACAATTTTTGCAGCTCCTCTTAGACATGAGTCTTACTTTTATCACTTAAACATAGTTGAATAACAAATTCTTCCCAAGCAGCAGAGATTTTTTCAACATCTGCTTTCTCAATCTCTGCCCTCTCAAATTCAATAAGAGGTTCTTCTTTCTATTTCTTATTCGAAGAAAGAGCAGACATCATCCCTATCCTCGATTTAACATTGTTGCTTTGGAAAATGGTTTTAGGAGTCGGATGATCCAAGTGATGCTATGAAATTCCATTCTATACATGACTTACTTAATCATTTAGATCTACCTAATAATTATCATTAGCCCCAGCCTGAATATTCGATAATACATCTCTCAAATTATTATATTCTCCAAGATCCTCCATCAGTTTTGATTAACCTAAGACAGATTAACATACCTTGCCCATTACTGTCAATGGAAAATAAGAATAAAATGCAATTAAAACCTACACATACTTTTTCCTATTAATATACTTTCCAAGTTGTAATATTTTCTATGATAACGATTTCGCAAATTGCTATAAAGCTGCAATATCCTTTTATTCTTAATCATTCCCATCTTCGTCCTCATCCTAATGGATTTATATGTTTTTTCTAATCAAATAAGTTGTAAATAAGGGCAATACAGCTTCAATTAAGAAATCAAAGTATTTCATCTATTAGTGATCGAATTAAATAGAATCCAATCTCTTTATCTCGTATTCAATCATCTTAATTAGATCATTCTTAATTTCCTTCCCAACATTATGACTCTTCTCACTCGTAATGTGTATATTCATAAAAAATATCCATAATTATTTTTTTATTAATCCAAATCCTTATTCTTAAAGAGAGGGATTTTTGCTACTTATAGAATCTGATTTGCACAACAATTATATCAGGTATTGGGCTGTAAATTTCTTTTTTAATTTTGCTACATTTATTGTAAAGTTATCCTTCTGATCACCTTCAAGGACTTGAATTTATGTACATTATAGCAATAAATCCAATAACTTAGCATGATAGAGAAATGGCTAGTTCATTGGAGGATTTGTTGCTAAATCTGTTAGAAAGTCCGATTAGTGCAATTAGATATCACCTTCAAAAACGAATTCATTCCTTTCTGTAAACAATAGTTCTTCTTTTTCTAGAAAAGTGTTCAATACTAGTAATTAATTATCAAAAATATATTTATTTCCTTATTTTATTATCGTAAGGAAAAAGTCCAAAAATTGGGCTTTTCTTCCACTTTGATAAATTAATTCTACAAATCTATGAAAAACTCTGTCATTTCTATTTATAGAAGTTAAAAGTTTCTGATTATCTTTATAAATTTCACAAATTAATGGGATCTGTCCTACTTCCAAATGCATATTTTCAAAATAGGATATATACTATGATAACACTATCTAATTCTCATGATTATTTCTGCAAAAATAGGTTAAAAATTAAAAGGCATAAATGAACAATTGTGCCAACCTTTGTTTTCTTTGAACATTTTTGATATTTTCAAGTTGGAAATCCAAAGTTGGCATTTGATCTCTTATTAAATTTAAGATAGGCACATGAATCTTTAATGCATTCATTAAGTTCTATTTTTCCCCATCGATTTCTGAAGTTCCAGAGATGATTCTTTACGATATTTGAGTGTCCTTAAAGAAACCCTATCTAAAATTATCGATTATATCCAATGTTTCTTCTAGGTCATTTTATTTCTAGCTTTTAACGTATTCTGCAAGCCATACTTCAGATCTATCAACCAACTAATTTAATCTTTACAAATTTTCACTTAGGAATTCATATAGTTTACTTTTTATTGGGTCACTTACAAGTTACAGTTTTAATAGATTATTACAAAGTTCTTCTCTCTAATTAAACAACCTCATAATAATAGCCAAACACCTCTTTTCTAACTCCTCCTCATGAATCTAAGAAAAGTTTGTAAATAAATATGGCAAAACAACTCCTATTGGGTTGTTTATCTTGCTGATGTCTTCTTGAGGTAAATTTAATGAGAAGTATTAATCCAAATCATATATTTGCATTTCATTCTAAGTAAAAACTTTGAATTCTTCAGATTCTGGTTTTGTTTCAGCCAATTTATTCAAAAAATTTAATGCTCCAATACCAAAGGCATCTTGTTTCTCTTCTTTTTCATCCACTTCTTTTAAACCTGTTTTAGCAATATTTGGTAACAACCCCAATAAATTTGATTCTGTTTTCCTCTAAACAAAAATTAATATTTTAGTTTCTTCCTATTCTTAACAAACATCATCTTTAGAAAATTTAATTTATTGAATTCCTTCTTACATTTTTTCGATAATTTATTTCTTGAAAAAGGACAAACAATTCAACATAAGATAATTTTGTCTCATATCTAAGAATCTATCCATGACATCACAAAGAGTCAATTTGATTTTGATCTCTAATTGACTTGACCCAGTCTCTTCTCTAGTTAATAAGGTACTCTGGAGTTCATTCTCTAACTTGATAAATCCTCTCATTAAGGGATTAGTGTACATTTAGACATCATCAACAATACCTTCATCAATTTATTCATCATCGTCTGATTCTGATTTTTATTCCTCATCTGATCCAAACAGATTTAGATTCAAACCCAAATTCATTGGATTAGCCATACTAATCAGATTAGCTCCTAAATTCAAACCAATTCCTAATGGGTTTATCTCTTTTCTTTGTTTTCTTTAAGTGATTTCTGATTTTTATACTTTGTATACACTTTTCATCAAAGGCAACTAGGTAAAATCATAGAAAAAATAATGAATAACAATATCAATTATTTATTTATAGTATTGATTTGGTTCCTTATCTAAAAATTAGAATACATCCAATTCTAACACTAATAACATCATCTAACAAGAATTGTAAAGCAATTCATTAATCAACAAACTCTTTTCATCATTTGCATCTAATACATCATAATCTTTATTATCTCCACCGTCTTTAGTATCAAGTGCCAGCACTATTTAATGTTTATTATCTTATAAATATTTGAATAGATCCTCAATTAAAGAAGTGTAGAGCCCGATATGTTGAACTTCGTTTGCCTTATCAATACTTTTAAAAAGATTACAATATTTAGGTAATTGAATCTTATTGAGAGGGTCATGATCAATATAAAGACTCATAGCAATTTTACACAAAGCAGCCTAGAGTACTGCATATGTTCGATTGCCATCTTCTTACCAAATGTTTTGAAACAAAAAGTCTTTACTGAAATACTATTCCAACTCATGTTTCCATAGATAATTTCTCCCATAGGATACATCAGCATAAAATTACAACTACTCATTTATAAAGTACATTTCCTTAGGGTCATTCTATAATTTAAATGGGATAACGAGCTTTCCATCTTTCAAAGATATCTTATCTGGATCTTCACGATCTTTAATTAATTAAATCTTTTTGTGATTATGTTTCTTTAGCAATTTATAAATGGCTTCTTAATTTGAATTAATCCCTTGATTATTATAAATGCACATTTCTCTTAGGAAAGTTAAAAAGTCTGCTTTATGTGCTTATTCATCTGTTTCTAATAGATTTAAGAAGAAAATGAGAAAATTATTTTAAATTTTATTATGATGAAGCTACATTTTTTCTTCTTCTGGCTCAAAAAATTCCTATTCCTTTGGATTATAATCAAGTTTCATATTCATTGACAATTGGTTAAGCAATTCTTGATTGTTTCCAATAATTGAAATCATACACTTGATTGCTTCTGGAATATATCTACAATGTTCTAAGAAATGCCCAATTAAATCAAAGGTGTACAACTCATTCTCAGGGTTTTATTTGCAAATCGATGTCAATAATGTATAAATAGCTTGATTCAATGTTATTTTAAATGCAATATAAGCCAATATTTCATGATCTTTTAGTCCTTGTTTTTTGTTGGTTTGTTCTGTGCTGCTCATTTTTTCTTATTATTATTGTATGTCTTGCATTTGAATAATCATATATCTTCTGCTCCAAATCACAAGATCTTCAGGTTTTAGCTGTTAAACTAATATTTTGACTAATAAATCAATGTAATATTATTCCTTCAATAACTTTTATCTAAACGGATTGATAGTTCCATACTTCTACTCAGGTGTTGAATTATATAATCTATTATTACAAAAATCATTGATATCATCAATACATTATTTTGTTGTTTATATTTTTAATAGATGATCCTTAAGTACTTCCTTATCTTAGGCATCGTTTTCCCATTTTAATTTCTATAAATCGTCAAGATAATTTGTTAGAGTCTTAGCGCAACTTAGAACAAATGAAATTTCCCAAACATCGTTGCTACTACTAGCATACAATTTAAAAACACTTTAATCAGTTTTATGTTGTTCTTAATGAAGAATTGGAATGTACCTTTGATTTTTTCCGTATTGTATATCAACCCAATAACTATTTTCATCATTCTAATTATTATTAGTACCTAAAGGTATTGCTTTATCATGACAAATATAAACATAACTTCCTCTCATGACAGATTTTTCTCTAACCTGAGAATTCTTTAGTTGACTAAAATAAAATAATGTTGATGGAACTCTCTATTTATCTAATGTAAATTTATCTTTAAGGCCAGATAAATACAATCCTGATGTAAAATGCTTGAATCTATATTTCTTATCAAATACTACAATGCCTCCTTCTTTGTATATTTCTGATTCAATAATCCACATTGAATGAGTATCTCCTGTATATTCATCATAACTTTCTTTTGTTGAACCACTCAATACATTTAACTCAACATTCTCTACTTTTAACCACTCAACCAAATTAAATGATTGAAAGTTCTTCTAATCCACAGGTTTACCCTTTCTTGTTGCTGCAATAGTTGTATTAGTTTCAGAATGATGCAACCAAATCACATCACCGCATTTCAAATACCCCGATGTTTCAGAAACATAATCTGAATAAACTGAAATTCTCCACTGAGTTTGATTCTCTTCATCTAATGCTGCATTTACTTCTCTCTTGATTATATCCTTCTCATTTTTGCAAAATAATAAATCTTCATCACTCTTTTTCTATTTCCTGCTCTTTCCATAGTTTCCCATCTCTTAAGATGCATGCAAGAATGTCAATTTATTCATAAAGGATGTGGCTCTCACTATATAAACAATGTCACTTGCATAAATAACTTACTCACCTTCTTTCTAATATTTATAAGCTGGTAAGATCTTAAATAATGATGAATCGCTAGGTAATTCATCTAGAGTTATTTTATAATTTGAGGTTTCTACACGAGCCTCCTTTTGATGACAAGCCAAAAACTTTGATGATGCCAAATGCAATAATTAAATATGAGACTTATATGACACTTTATGTGCTTTAGACTATGGTATTACAATACATGTTTACTTTTTCAAAAGTGTCGAGATTATATTTGAACTCCTATAATAATTTCTGAGAAAATGTTTAGACTTGCTCTTTTGACATAATCGTCTTTTCATCCACTTTCTAATGTTTTTGAATGCTTTCTAAAATATTCTGAACTGCTGGTTAAGCCTCTTCTTCTTGTTCTTCTCCAATAAGTTCCTTTAAAATTTCTTACTTAGTATTATTTGTAAATTTTGGAAATATTTAGAATAGAGTGTGGTAATAAGGTCTACTTTTCATTTTACCTAATTATTTTGCATCTACCACATCTATGTGATGCTTGTATATAAATGCTATATTTGTACAAAGTTCTTTAAACAAACTGCCCGCTTGACAAAACCATCTGCTGTTATGAAAGAATGATCATCTTATACATGAGATATCGAAATAATAGATCCATAAGTCAAATAGTTTAAGTCCTCTTAATTCATATAATACTTTATTTAAATTATTTCAATTGAAATTAAATAACATTACAGTCCTACTCTCTATATAACGAATTTGATAGTCTTATTAAGAAATCTAAATGCTATCCGCCATTTTGGATTCCTTCCCCCATATTTATTCCATAATCATAAATTAATTATTTTACAATATATTTATATGAATTGCGACCCACATCTCTCCAAAAATACGATACTTCGATTCTATTGAAAAAAAGAGATTGTAAATTAGTTTATTATTCAATTTGTAATTTTAAGAATTTGGAATATTTAGACAATAATTTATGTAGCAATTCGTAATCAATTTCATTTCATCTATAAATTATTATCTTCTCATTATTCCTAAATTTAGAAGTTATATTCAGAATTAAAAGATCTTATAATTTTAGACAAAAATACCTTGATCTAATGTTAATTATCTTCCCTCTCTTGTATGGATCAAACAAATCAATTCTAAAAATCAATATTTATAATGAAAATAGAAAAATTTAAAGAATGAATTAGTATAAATCATATCTAGCAATTTAAATATTGACTAGAGATAATTAGGAAGATGAATTTTGATGAGAATAACTTAAAAATTAACGAAAAGTTAGAATTTTATCTAAATATAGAAGGATAAATGAAAATGAACATTTTTGGATTCAGAATACAATAATGAGAACCATCTAATTGGTAATCTGTGATATCACTATGTCATATCATAGAATTATGAAGAGAGAAGGATTTGAAGTAATTTTGAAGAGGAATATTTAACAATATGAATTTTGAGTATAAAATGAAAGGATTATAAACCAAATTATGAAACCCGTTTTTTAGATAATTAAATTAAATTATGAGAGCAATCATCGCAATTTGCTTATTGTCAGCTGTATTTGCTATCGACACAAATAAATTTGCTGTGCTTCTTCAAGCTGGTACCAGAGGAAATGATGCAGTCGAATCTGTTTACAATCTCTTAAGAGACCTCAAGACAGAGAATGTTTAAGTCTAAGCTGCTGCAGACAAAAAGAATAACACAGATGAAGGTAATAAAATAACATTATGTCTTCTTAGAAATCTTTGCTTAAGTCATTGGTGATTTGACAAATGTTGCTTCACTTAACAAATAATAATGGGAAGCTCTTGGTGCAGTCAGAGGAGACGTTGAAGCCTAAGTCAGAGTATGATTATTTAATAAATTCTAAAGGATGGATATTAATGGTTGGCTTGGGCTGAATCCAGACTTGCTGAAATTGAAAGAAGAAATGCATAACTCTAAGATTAAAGATGTTGGGCCAATGGACTCTTTGTTAAATCACTTGCTGATCACGCTGATGCCATCGGAGTAGTCACACTCTTAGAATAAGATGTTGCTGGATTTCTTACAAATAACGCTGGAGTCGAACTCGTCGAGAAAGCCCAAACAATCGCTGACAAATTGTCTGCATACAGCCACCTTTTCCAATAAGACGCCATCTAGAAATTCCAATCCCTTGCCGAAGTTAAGAGAGACGGAACCACAGGAGAATAAGTCCTCTAAATCTTATAAGATTTACAAGATGAATTAGAATCAACCCTTGCCACATTATAAGAATAAGAAATTCATGCAGCTTTCGCTCTTGCCAAATACGTTTCAGACACAAACGCTGAAGTTGCTTGGTTGAACTCTGAACACGAAAGAAGAACCAACCTTGTTGAGAAATTAGAAACAGTATCAATTCCATCTTATAAATCAAGTAACTCCCAGCTGTTTTGGCCCAATAAGCTAAAGCTCTTAAATTATGGAAAGATTCCTTGAATGCAGTTGCTGGTGCCACAGCTGATCTTGAAGAAAAGAGAGAATTCTATGCTTCTGAAACAGCTAGAAGACAAGGTATTAATTCAATCTTATATTCATAGAGGAAAATGCAATCATCGATGTCGTTATCCAACTTTTCAAGGATTAAGTTAGATCATTAGCTTCATAAACATCCCTAAACAGACATTGATGGATTATTCATATAAGAATTTACCTTAATTCATTCTAAAATTATAATCTCCCTTTTATCTATAACCTAAGAATTTAATTAAATTTGATTCTATAAAACTTGATTCATAGACGTGGTTTGATTTCATATTAAATCAATTAAGATTAATTAACTTCCTAATTGCTCATAATACATATTAATAAAAGTAGTAAAATTAATTTGAGGGGACTCTAATTATGTTATTTTTAATANTTGCTATCGACACAAATAAATTTGCTGTGCTTCTTCAAGCTGGTACCAGAGGAAATGATGCAGTCGAATCTGTTTACAATCTCTTAAGAGACCTCAAGACAGAGAATGTTTAAGTCTAAGCTGCTGCAGACAAAAAGAATAACACAGATGAAGGTAATAAAATAACATTATGTCTTCTTAGAAATCTTTGCTTAAGTCATTGGTGATTTGACAAATGTTGCTTCACTTAACAAATAATAATGGGAAGCTCTTGGTGCAGTCAGAGGAGACGTTGAAGCCTAAGTCAGAGTATGATTATTTAATAAATTCTAAAGGATGGATATTAATGGTTGGCTTGGGCTGAATCCAGACTTGCTGAAATTGAAAGAAGAAATGCATAACTCTAAGATTAAAGATGTTGGGCCAATGGACTCTTTGTTAAATCACTTGCTGATCACGCTGATGCCATCGGAGTAGTCACACTCTTAGAATAAGATGTTGCTGGATTTCTTACAAATAACGCTGGAGTCGAACTCGTCGAGAAAGCCCAAACAATCGCTGACAAATTGTCTGCATACAGCCACCTTTTCCAATAAGACGCCATCTAGAAATTCCAATCCCTTGCCGAAGTTAAGAGAGACGGAACCACAGGAGAATAAGTCCTCTAAATCTTATAAGATTTACAAGATGAATTAGAATCAACCCTTGCCACATTATAAGAATAAGAAATTCATGCAGCTTTCGCTCTTGCCAAATACGTTTCAGACACAAACGCTGAAGTTGCTTGGTTGAACTCTGAACACGAAAGAAGAACCAACCTTGTTGAGAAATTAGAAACAGTATCAATTCCATCTTATAAATCAAGTAACTCCCAGCTGTTTTGGCCCAATAAGCTAAAGCTCTTAAATTATGGAAAGATTCCTTGAATGCAGTTGCTGGTGCCACAGCTGATCTTGAAGAAAAGAGAGAATTCTATGCTTCTGAAACAGCTAGAAGACAAGGTATTAATTCAATCTTATATTCATAGAGGAAAATGCAATCATCGATGTCGTTATCCAACTTTTCAAGGATTAAGTTAGATCATTAGCTTCATAAACATCCCTAAACAGACATTGATGGATTATTCATATAAGAATTTACCTTAATTCATTCTAAAATTATAATCTCCCTTTTATCTATAACCTAAGAATTTAATTAAATTTGATTCTATAAAACTTGATTCATAGACGTGGTTTGATTTCATATTAAATCAATTAAGATTAATTAACTTCCTAATTGCTCATAATACATATTAATAAAAGTAGTAAAATTAATTTGAGGGGACTCTAATTATGTTATTTTTAATATTATAACCTCTTTAATTTTTATAATTTTTGGGATTTGTTTAAAAGAGTTTTAATTTCTTGTTCGAGTTCTCAATAGATGACCTAAGTATTCTTTATTTTATATATTTTTAATAACAGCATGTCAAATAATCTTGTTTTGTATAAAAACATCAACATCATTTGAATGAATTGTAATATTTCAATATTCCAATTCGTTCAAATGATTAAATACATTAATTGATCTTATTATTCAGACTTTTTTTCTTAACAACTTCTTTTGAAGGATGCAAATCAATAGACTAAATTTTGTATTAATCTCATGTTTATTTTTGGTTTCTTAAACAGTTTATGTATTTAAAGTAAATTTATCATTTTAGTTTGATGGTTGGATGAGAAACAGGGGTTTTCAGAAATTAATTAGGAAAAAAGTGGTTAATTAACCTTCCCAGTATATTATGTTAACTAAATCTTTCGTTAATAATTAGGATTGAACCTTATCATTCTTAAAAGCTGCTTTGTTGTTTAAAACTACTGTAATAATGATGAGTATAAGGATGAATTTAAATAATTATTCTTAATAGTCATCCAAAAATCTATTAAGTGAAGGAATATGATTTTTTGTATACTCATCTTAATTCTGAGGATGTTTAACAAAATAAAATTTGATAACTTGACAAGATAAATAAATGAGAATGGTAAATTTCAGAAGAAGACCTAAATTAGTTGATGAAAATTATCTAATTAAATTTGAATATCTATCTAAGAATACTCATCATAAGGTATAATGATTGATATTATTAAGCCAAGAATATTATTTCCCTTGCAATAATTGGTAAATCAAAATGATAAATAATAGAGATTTAAAAGAAACTTATGGATATCAAAGGGAACTATAATATATTGAGAAACCATATCTAGTAAGCATCATCCAGCAAAGGTTATGATATGGAATATATATTAATTTATAAGAAATATTCTAATATTTCAATCAAAAGGAGAGTAATCATACTCAGCCTTGTTATGCATAACTAACTGTTCACCTACAAAATAAAAACTGTCTGATTTAGTTTGAAATGGATTGTCAATCATTTCTTATCTCTAATAAAAAGGATGATTATATTCATATACCATAGCTTCATCAATCTCTGGAATGGTGTAAATGTGTTCCCATGTATTTGTTGAATTTGGAATGCAAAAAGGGAATTAAAATTCGTAGCTTCTCAATAAATGATCTTTGAAATAATGTCTTTCAATAATTGTGAAATTCTTGACTGGCTGATTACCGACTGAGAAGGTCAATTGTGCTCCCACTGTTTTCAATTCAAAAAATTATGGTCCAAAGTGGTATTTAATCCTTCTAGCTTCGTCTTAATATTCAGGTGGGAGGTTTTCTTATTATGTTTAATTATTATGTTACCTATGGGCTCCTCATCTTAATCACGTTCAACCTCAAATAGAGTTTAACCTGAATCCATATCTCTAATTCTAAATTTAAGAAATTGGATATTGTAAATGTTTGCATTCACAGGACACAAGAAACTATCATTTACATACTCAAATACTCTTGTGTAATTCCATTTAGACTTCTAACATATTCTGTTGTCACTTACTACATTATTTTTATTTATTAATTTTATTATTTATAAATCACAGCTTTGGAATCTCTCTAAGTTATCTTGTTAATGATCTTAATTTATTTTAGTACTCTTCATTGTTGACAGAACTTAATTTGGCACTTTGCAATAACTTTTCATAAGGCTTGGCATCTACTAAATCTGATCTTAAAGCATTGTCGTTGAATTTAAATGACTATCTATAAATTATTAATCTTACTTCAACAAGTCCTAGTAAATCTGGTTTTATGAGTGTGAAAATATGTTCTTTTGCATTCAAAATGATTTCCAACTATTCCCCATTCAAAAATCCACCTTCAAAATATCCAATTGGCCAATCAATAATTCTTTGTAAACCATACAAACAACATAAATTGGATAAGACTGATCTAATGTTTTCATCCTAAACTCTAAAAATGAATCAAAACTTATACTTTATTAATGTATCTAAGAATGTTTTAAATGTCCAATAATAAGTATGAGAAATGGAAGCTTCAGTTATTGAAACACCGACGTGTTTATTCCATGCTTCTTTTGGTCCATGTTCACCAGCTAATTTGATAATTTGTTATTGATACCTTTTTCCATCATTTTAAGCATCATTTTATTTACATAAAAGGCTGCATGCAATCTCATCAATTTTCTAATGATTTCAGGGCACAACAATTATTCTGCTCTTGTGAAAGTAGCTTTTTATGATAAAGTTTATTAAATATTATAGAGATATTCCACATTCTCATTAATTGGTTAGTGTTTTTGTGCTTTATTACAAGCTTTCAATAAATATCTACCAGTTTGTAATAATAGAACTGTATTTTCACCTTCATAAGTACAACTTGGAGCAAATTCAGTTTAAATACTAACAACGCCTGAAGATTATAAAAATCCATGTCCACCTAAAGATTGTCTAATTTTATCTAAGCCAAAATGAGTATTCCAAGTATAAACTGCCTTACAACAACATAATAATGCGTGCAAGTCTCCCATTAAAGAAAAGTCATTTTTCTCAGTTATCCTTTTTAGATTTTCTGATAAAATGTCTCTAATTCTCAAGCATCCAAAGCCTTAGGCATAGCAATCTGCTACCAATGGAATCAATTTATCTTATTGAGTTTAGTAATCAATGATAGGTCTTTCAATGCCATTTTTATCTTTAAATTGTCTTCTAAAGTGAGAATACTTGACTCCAATAGCTAATCCTTAGGCTAATGAAACATAGGTATTATAAATGATAGAGGTTCTTACTTGCATCATGGTGGCATAACCAATCTTTTCATTTTAAGCCTTAATGAATTCACCAGCCTTGCTAACTTTGGAATATCTCATAAGCATTTACTCTCTAGGAATTCTGACATTGTTCATTCTAAGATACCCATTATCTTTTGTGTTATAACCATATTTTGGTCCTACATCTCCGACTTCAATTCCTTTGAGTGGTAGATGAGTATGTGTGTCTCTGACTTAGACTATAAATGTTTAGACTCCATAGTGTTTTCCATTAATGAACAATTAAGCATGTGTTACTGCATGTGTGGCTGTCAATCCCAAGTCTCCAATCCACCATTTGGTTGATGAAATAGTTGGTGAGTTGAGAATGAATTCTTCGGTGTTTTTATCATAAACAGCAGTAGTTTCCAAACTCTGGACGTCTGATCCATGACCCAATTCAGTTTGAGCATAGCATCCCACAATCTCATAATTTTATGAAGGAGGAATCCATTTCTCTATTTACTTTTCAGTTCCCAAATACTTGATTGTCGGTATAAACATGGTTTAATGTAACACAGTCACCACAGTTTCTGGGAATTGACTGTTCACCATACCTGGAATCATCTCATCACTATAATTTAGTAATTTATGTAGTTTATAGGCCTTCTTGCAATAGATTTCATATAATTTATCTCTGCTTTACCCATAATCTGCCACATTATTTTACAATATTGGATCTTTAGCAATCAGCTCTTAGACTTTTATCCACCTATCTTTAATAACCAATGTGTACTTATGATAATTCTCTTTATACAACAGTTATCCCATGTCGTCTGTGTTAAACGAGCACTTCACTAAGTCTTAGGATGATGACATTTCAATTATATTATATTACTATATTTTTGTTCTTCATTTTATAATATTAAATTGCAAACGCACTAAAAATTGAAATGACGCTTAATAATTTAATATTATTTATTAAATAGTATTCACAATTATTATGAATCAACTACTTAGGTTAATTGTTGGCTAGTTTGGGTTCCAAAGTTACTTTCTGATAAATCTTCTTAATATTCTAATTTGCATCCATTGATTTTGATCTTTGTAAATATCTCAGTAAAGCAATAGCACATAGCATCCAGTAGACCGAGTATGTTGCAGAAAAACTACGATAAGTATTACCATATAATTGATTACGGGTTAAATTGCTGAACCAAACCAGGCTACAGGATAACTAAAGTAAGATTACAATCACCCAGCAAATGAATAATATTGTCGGATACAGGAACAATGCAAAAACTTGTGTTTTGTTTGTAAAATCTGTTATATGCTTTAATATTCTTCTTACAACTAATGTTATTATTGTTAAGTTATATAAAAATGCTACCCAAATCGGCAAATAATAACACAAAGTTATGTACAAATCATAAGATCTCCTCTCCAACCTCATATTATAAAAGCAATTTGTTGATTCCATCGGATATGTCACTCCATATCCATCAACATAAAATGGTCTATATACAATATTAAACATAAATTTACATAAAACTGATTATTGTTGGAATCACGTAACCAACAAATATGTACTGATAGTAATACATCTTAGAAATGTTCCTATACACTTGCATGTATAAGGTGTGGCATATAATTGAGGTCCAAGCTGTGCTAGTTAAAATTGAAAAATTCGATAAATAGGCCTATATATAACACAAGGTTGGATATGAATCTCTAAAGGATGTTTCTTCATTACTCCAATTTTCTGTGATTATGTAACTCAAACTAATCGCACTCATTATAGATTCATATATTAGATCTGAAAATAATATTCTCGTTACTAACTTAAACTATGCATTATTTAAGTGCTGAAACTTGAGATAACAATAAAGAGTAAAAATTAATAAAAATACAGAAGGTACACAAATAGCCGCTATTTCTGTAGCTAAAGCCAGTTCTTATTCTTTGGTTAATTCCAGAAGTATTGAATAATTTTAATTCATTAATATTATTAATTAATACATAAACAATCAACCTAAAGCAATTATGTATTAAATCTTAATTGCAATATTTTTCTATAGTGATATTAATTCTATAATTTTCATTTTAATCTAGAGATAGAATATATCTATTTCATTTTGTTTATCAGATTGTTTAAATTAATGGACAATTAAACATAACTTTTAATTACTATTTACTTGAGAATGAGAACTTTAATTGATGATTAAAAAGTTGCAAACTTAAATTGTAAATTATAATTGAATCCACGCTAATGATTAAAAATAAAATTTATACAAATTTAATGGATGGTTTTTGAGTCTTTTTTTAAAGATAATCAACAACAATATTAGCAAAATTGGATAAAATTAAGTTCTAACCTTTTTTTACTGTGATTTATAACTTACAAATAATTTAATTAATTAGAAATTATTATAATCAAGCTTAATATCTTTAGATTTTTGTCATCCTAATGAATTTTCCTATTGACCCAAAACTTATGTAATTTATAATGATAAAATATTCTATTTAACAATCAAATACTAATATTTAAATCAATGGTTAGACTTGGATGGATTAAACTAAATATTTGTCATATTTTATATTTTTTGATGCAATGGAATTTGTTCTATCTCGTTTGCATCTGTAATGAATAAAGTATCTACAGATTTAGCTCTTAATTTGGATTATTATTTGTTAAATAAACGATCTTACATTGAAATATCAATTTCTGATTTTTCTTAGATTGTAGACAATGAAGGTGCACCAAGCATGTTTCCTTTCATTTATTCTTTGCTTCTTGCATTAATAAACCAATGATGCTTTAAGGCAGTTTGGGCATTAAACCTTTAAGCGGGATCTTTCTTTAACATGCCCTATAAAAGTTCAATAGCTGAGGAGGATAACTTCTTTGAATATTCAAAATTGATTTCACATTTTTCATTTAAAATTGCAGTCTCTCTGAAATCTTTTCCTTCAAATGGATATTTGCAATAGAAAATGCCATAGAAGATAACACCTAAAGAAAAGATATCAATTTTGTCTTCAAAGTTTCTATTTTGGAATAGCTCTGGAGCCATAAAGCCAGGATTGAAGACTTTCCTCTTTTTACATTTATCTTTGGAATCTGCACTCGCAAAATTAGCAATTATAAGATTAGTTAATTGAGAGTTGAGTTGTATGATGTTCTCTGGTCTTATGTCTTTGTGGATGATATTTTTTGAGTGTATATGTGCCAATGCATTTAATAACTTAAAACACACCTCTGCCTATTGTTTTTCAGTCAAACTATTGATAATATGTCTTTATTACTTCCAATATTCTGGCAGTTTGGTTTTTAATGAATGACCTAGGAATTTATCAAATAAAATATAAACAGTATTGCTGTCTTCATACACTTCTAATAATTTTTAGATTTAAGGGTGATTTAAACGACGCAAAATTTAAATTTCTCTAATTACTTATTTTGCTTGCGTTATTTAAGATTTTTCTAAGATTTTGACCTAATATTGCTACCCATTTATACATTTATAGCAATCATAAAAGTTAAGTGAATTCTTAATCTTACCCATTAATTTATGGCGTTTGTTAAAATTGGGCAATAGACAAAGTCTTTTCAAGTAGTCATGCCTAAACTCTATGGAGTTAGTACCATTAATTAAGTTATTCAACCGATTCGGTATATAATAACAACCTATATGGTCCTTTTAAGAACCCTAATCCATACTTGTGGGGACCGTAAGTCTCAGTCGGTTTCAGTCGTCTTATTTGCACTCCAGGGAGTTGCATGTAAAATTAGCCTTTACATAGCACTTCAGGGTAAAGATCATAATGTTCTTCAACCCATACATTTCCAGTGAATTCAAAGAATTTCCCCTTATAAAGCAATCTATCGGCATGAAGTGGTTGTTGTAATGGTTCCCAAAATGTTACTGATTGCTCGAGATCGAAAATACTTGTAAAGCTTTAATAATTAGGTTATTATTTCATAATTATTTATAAACCTGCAAACCAAATCTCGTAAAATAGTTTGATTAAGAAAAATAATAGAATAAACTCACACGTTATTGATAATAATTTTTTTCTCAATAATGAATTGTTGGAGGAGTTAAATTTAATTCTTAAATTAGAATTGGTCTCAAATTTCTGTAAAATATGGAAAGAAATTAGAATGAATATTAAATAATCATTGTCAACACTTTTAAATACAGTCATTGCATATAGCATATTGTTGAGCAATCATTTCTAATAGATTTATTATTTTAATTGATTTGGAGAATTGTAATTTTATCGATTTTCAAAATAATTAGCATTATTATACTTTATTAAAATTCATAAAAAATTAACTGATTATAATATTTTTATTTATTCAATGTATTATGCTCCAGCCAGACCGATAGAGATAGAAAAGTTTCCAAAAGGCTATATAAAACCATCTGGATAAAACCTAGAATTTCTTTAACGACCTCCAGTAGATAATCGTAGAATTTAAGATTATTACGGAAAAGTTTAGGATTTGCCTACTCAATCAGAGAGACCATAAAATAGAATCTATACATAAGGATCTTTTGAATAAACTCAATAATTTCAAAAAGCAAAAAATTAAGAGAATAAATTAAAGGGAAACTAAAACCAAGATGTTGGATCTAATATTAATCCTTTAAGAATGAGATCTCCAGATAGATTTTAGAGTGCTCCTTTTAATACTATATTCACTGATGATAATATTTATAAGCCTGTTGGATCTCCTTAAAATTTTACAGAGAGCATAGTGCACCCTTTGGAGAGTAGGCTATCACCTTCTACTTTAAGGGGACCGAACCAAGGATATATGCGTAATTTGAGAGAATTTTCTTAAGATTTTTAAGAACCTAGTTTTGGTTTTTTTCCTTAAACTGTTAGAGATATTCATTCAGGAGAACCATTTCCAGGATATAGAAGAATTGGTCATCCTGAGATGTTAAATTATTACAGGAGAGGAATTCCGGAGCCAATATTAAGTAATAGAAATTATGGGAGAGATTTTAAAAAAGATTTATCCTACAGAGTTATTCCAGTAACTGATTTTAGAAAAGGACATCCTTTTGATTTTCATGGACCTACTCCCATTTTGAATGAGAGAAATGCTTTGGCATTAGACTTAAGAGGATATCCTTATTTGGATTCTGATAGATAGAGATTTGAACCTCCCTTTGACTATAGATCCTATTATGACTCTCAAGCTGTGCCTGCTCCGGATTATTATGTACCAGAATATCGAGGGTTTCCTCCTTTTGGAATGGAAAGGGAGTTCAATGAGAGATAACCCTACAATAGAAGTCTACCTTATTAGGATAGAGTATATCCTTCTTCGTATGGGAGAATGGACTAGTAGATGTTTAGGGAGGGGAGACCTAATTACAATTTGGATCGAGTTTACTCTCCATATTAGGAGAGAGCTAATGGATTAAATCAGAGGATCAAATAGGTTTGAATATTAATAAATATTTATTTTTCACTTTTTAGTTAATTCTTAATGGGTAGATAATAAGTAATTATTGGAAAAAAAATTAAATTAATGTTATAATTTTAAAGTTAGTCTAATTGATAGATTTAATTGTATATTTGAAATGAGACTGTGGGAAAGAGTGTTAAAAAGAGTAGGACATGGGGAATTGAGGCAGAAGGATTATTAATAATATAAAATTATATTGGAAAATGAGTATAAATGAAGAGCTCGATCCGTTTTTAAATTAATATTAAAAATGTAAAAAATAGCTCTCTTAGCTTTGGTTCTTGCTGTGACTGCTGCAAAGTTCATAGATACCCATACCACATTAGCTTAAATCAACGCTGACCCATTCGGACACGTTGTCTTGAGTGCCATCAAGGCTCACCTCTAAGCCTCTACACCTGCCAATGAAGTTAATATGTTATTGAATGGTGTTGGTGCTGGACTCGTTTAAGACCAAAATGACCACGACCACGCATTTGAACTTGACACCACAACCAACAATAGAGTAAGAATCTTAAAATATACTAGATCGTTGAAGATTTGGAGAAGGAAATCTTGTATCACTAAAACTAAATTGCCTCAAATACTTAATTGAGAGATGACACTATCGAAGCTCTTGCCGTCTCTGAAGAAGATATCAGAGTCACAATCTCAGATATTGCTAACAACGAAGCTACCTATGCTAGAGAGGAAGCCACCAGAAATCAATAACACGAAACCTTCGTTGCCAAGGTTGCTGCTATTGATGATGTTATTGACGCTATCGATGAAGCTGCTAAACTCATCTAACACCTCAGTCTCGGAGCATCATTTGCCTAACTCAAGTCCAAATACGATGTCCTCCACAAGAAGCTCTCAGATAACACTTCCCACACTGCCTTGTTACAAGTATCCTTCTATATCTACTCTCCTAGCCAGTTATCACTGCTCTTACTGAATTGGCCACCCACGGAGTCAACCAAAAGGCTTTGACCAAGATTGCTTAATTATTGAGCGAAATCAGATAATAATTAGTCTAAGAAAAGGCTGCCAAGACAGTATTCAATCCATTTTAATATTCAAGGACGTCGAGGAAAGATAAGCTGCTCATTGGGCTGAATTCTCTGTTCATTTGGCTAATGAACACACCAGATTGGTTGAAAGAAAAGCTTAATTGGAAGTCTAAATCTAAGAATAAAAGGACACCATTGAAGATGCTTAATCATGGATCGAATTCCACACCTTGGAATTAGAAAACAGTGAAGAGAGACTTGCTGGATAATAAGCATGGTATGCAGTCTAATCAGAAATCTATGAAACCTAAACTGCTGAAAGGTATAATAAATTATAATATCCTTCTTTAGAGCTGCTTAAAATGAAATCGTTGATAGACTCTAAGAACACATCAGTGAGAAATTATCAACCACCGCCCAATTCATCAGCAAAAGAAATTGATTTATTAAAATAAATAAATTATGAACAATAGTTCTTTATGCATTTTATGTTTTCAGCAATCTTATATAATGAAAAAAACTATAGATATTCTTACTTTAAAAAAATGAATCAAAACGCCCAATATAACACCGTAGCAAAATAATTGGTTATCAAAGGATAATGATGATAGGTAGGTAATTACATAAAATTAAGAATCGAAATATATCAAAACTTCTTTAAATTCATCTATTCTTGATATAAAATATAAAATTTTTTTAATTTTCTTTGTTTATTTTGGGGGTACTTAAGTTATTGATATATATATATATCTATTTATATAATAACTTTTCTTTCTCCAGATTAATGAAATAAAACAAATGCGAATTATAATCTAATTTGTAAATTATAACGAAAAACTTTATTAATAAAAAAACTTATTTGGCAAAATAAATAAATTTATATGAATATCGATTAAGGTATAAAATAATTCAAAGGAGATGAGAGACAATATAAAACATCCCTAC